CTTTTCTATTTAAAGTTTTTAAATTTAAGTTTTTTTATTTTACATACTAATCACAGTTCCCCCTCCCTCCCTACCTGAACATGGTATGTACTCACTCATAAGTGGAAATTAGACATAAAGACAAGGATAACCAGACTACAGTCCACAACCCCTGAGGAACTAGGTAACAAGGAGAACCCTAAAGAGGCATGAGTGGCTAAGATAGGTAAGATCTTTTGAGTAAAGTGGGAATGTGGGGTAGGTGGGGTGGGGTGGAGGAAGGCATGAGGGAACGGGACACAGAGGGAGAGCAAGGAAAAAGATATCTTGATAGAGAGAGCCTTTATGGGGTTAGCAAAATAACCTGGTGCTAGGGAAATTCCCAGGAATCCACAAAGATGACTCCAGCTGAGACCCTAAGCAAAAGTAGAGAGGGTGCTGAACTGGCCTTCCCCTGTAATTAGATTGGTGACTGTAATGGTCTGTCCTGTCTCTTAAAGAGACAAGTCACGCCCATTCCCTACCCCCCACTGAGGCAGGCAGAGGCAGGCAGCTCTTCCTTCCCTGCTGCAGCCTGAGTCTCTTCCTTCTCTCTCTCTGTCTCTCTTCTCTGTCTCTGTCTCTCTTTCTGCCTCTCTGCTCTTTTCTCCTTCTCCCTCTTCCCTTCCATAACCCACTAAATAAATATCCAACCTCACTCTGCATGGTGTACCTATCCGTCTACAGAGACCTGCAGCATGATCTCGTGGCGTGCCCACTGCCTGCCACCACATGGTCTGCTGCAGTCACTCAGGGACCTGCAGCATTTCTGCTGCTGCAGCTGCCAGGAATCCTGCAGCAGTTTTATTAATCCATTACAGTGATAACCCTAAGTGCCATCATAGAACCATCATTTAGTAGCTGATGGAAGCAGACACAGAGATCCACAGTAGTTTTGGTTTTGCAGTGCTGTGGATAAAACCCAAGTCCTCATTCATTCCAGACAAGTGCTTCACTATCAAACTATACTCAAGCCAGTGGCACTTTTAGTTAGGCTGTGTAAAACATCTTCTCTTAAATAATTATCAACAATAGTAGCAGGCCATGGACTGAGGCCTCTTAGAGGGGGTCTCACAAACACCTAGAGACAAAAAAGCCTGGAACCCTGAGCCAAGAGCCCTGAGTCTTCCTTGTAAATTGTATACTGTGCTGCCTGTTTGGTTGGAAGTGTCGCCCCAGCCCCCTGGCACTCCTATATCTAAAGAGTCTGCAATGTTTGGGTCCAGGTATCACTGCAGCCCCCTGGGAGTCTGGAATGTTTGGTAGAAAGTTCCATTCCAAGCCCCCTCCCCTGGGAGATGCCACAGTCACACTCCACCTCCAAGAAAGCCCGCCAAATGGTGACCCCTCCCTAGAGAGGATCAAGACAACTCCCACAGACTATTAAAACAAACCCCCCCCCCCCCCCGCACACCAGATAACAAACAGGAGGTCTTTCAGGTTCTCCTTTTCCCTCTCTGTGTTTTCCCAGAGGGCCACCATCCATTAAACCTGGGCCTTTTCTTACTCAGTTTGATTTGGTCTAATTTGAATTATTGTGTCAGCAGAGAGGCTTAGTAGGCCGTAAAAAGTTTACACTACCATCTGATGGGGGCTCTTCTATTCGGGCTGTCTTGGTGTGAGCTCAGATTTCCCTCAATATCTCATAACTCCAGTGTCTCCTGTTTCTTTCAGTATGCCCAAAAGGGTTCCATTGTACAATTTCAAGTTTTCTAGAGTTATTCTTTAACTGCCATTGCAGTGTTTTGCTTGCTTTAGTCTTTTTAAATGTATAGTTTTTTTTTTAAAAAAAAAGAATTATGGACTTGCTTCCCACCAGCACAGCTTTTGCCTGCTGCTTCATAGGTGTAGAACGGTGTGAAATACACAAGATGGCTGTTTTTTAAGCTGATGGTGAAATGAGGGCTTTGACTAAATGTCTGAAACAGAAGCCCGCACAGCATAAGATAAGCACTTCTGGCGGCAGCGGTAGATTGTGCTGGCGCGCAGGCTGCAGCGAGCAATGGATGCTGAGCCCCAGGCTGCTTCTTTTTGCTTAGTTCAGGACCCCAGCCCATAGACCAGCACCATTCCAGTTACTGTGAGTCTTCCCAATTAATATAGTCTGGATAGTCTCTCACAGGCAACTTAGATGCTCTTCTTGTGCTGAACTACCCTGACCAGAGCAATTCAAGGGAGAAAGTGTTGATTTTAGCTCACACTTCAAAGCAAAGTCCATCATGGTGGACAGTCAGGGCAGCAGGAGCCTGGGACATCTGCTCACACGTCATGTTCACGCCCGAGACAGTTCAGGTAGCCTCTCCTCTGCTGTTCAAGGACCTAGCTGGGAACATCCTGTGGACACCTGGGATCCCCTCTAGATAATTTAGCCTACCCTGAAGGGGATGGCAAAGTAGTGGAGTAGCCCTGTCTGTGGGGCCAGCAGTGAGAGCTGCTGTCCACACGTGGCAGGTAGGAAGTAGAAAAGACCAGGCAGCATCCTAAAAGGCCTACCCCTGTGACTTACTTCTGCCAGCCAGGTCCCACCCCAGAAAGTCTCCTGCCTGCAAAATAGCCTTACAAAGTGGAGACTGATTGCTCAAAACATGAGTCTCTGGGAGAGGACTTTTTTGGTTTTTCGAGACAGTTTCTCTGTGTAACAGCCCACAGTGTCCTGGAACTCATTCTGTAGACCAGGCTGACCTCAGACTCACAGAGATCCGCCTGCCTTCACCTCCTGCATGCTAGAACTAAAGGTGTACACCACCACCAACCAGTAGGAGAGGACGGTTTTTCTCCTGCTGTTTCCGGTGTCTAGAACATAGCTTACTAAAATACTTACTAACTGAATGAAAATGGAGCACAAAGGGCACAAGGCAAGGAAGGCGTTTGGTGTGACCTATTCCAGTATCGCGTGTTCTAGGCCAGGGATCAAATGGAGTTTGGTGTGACCTATTCCAGTATCTTGTGTTCTAGGCCAGGGATCAAATGGAGTTTGGTGTGACCTATTCCAGTATCTCGTGTTCTAGGCCAGGGATAAAATGTAAATCACTAGTCAGTTTGTTGCCCTTGAGAGATTTGAACAGAAAAATGAAATTAAAGCCATGCAGCTTAAAGATTGAATTGGTACTGAGGTGTTAGATTAATTCTTAAAACACCATGAAGAGCTGGAGAGAGAGCTCAGTTGCTAAGTGCCTGGCACACGGTTTGGAGGCCTAAGGTCAGGTCTCTACGCTCGCCCACATCAAAAGCTGGGTGTGGTGTGCACCTGTGGTCCCAGTGCTTGGAAGCAGAGACAGGAGGGTCCCTGGGTTTCATGGTGAATTGGAGAATTCCAGATTCAGTGAGAGACCCTATCTCCAGAAATAGAGAATATTGAGGAGGGTACCCAGCATCCTCCACAGTGTGTATGCCCACACGTGCACAGTTCAAGAGCAAAGACACAGAGCCAATGTCAGTACGCATTCCCCTTTCCAGCCCAGCATTCCTTGACACTGCCAAGTGTGCCTTTTGGAAACGGTGTGACTCAGAAGGAGCTGTTAAAATGGTTAGAAGAGCTGCACTAGTAATATCTCCATTACTTCAGTTTCACATATAAGAAAATTACTTTGGTGACATAGTGCTAACCCAGAGACAGATCACAGCCAAATACAATCCGAATCTTCACGTCCTTTGTGTGTGTGTGTGTGTGTGTGTGTGTGTGTGTGTGTGTTCTGTGCAGTCTGGAGAGTATAGGGAATCTAAGATAACAGGTTCAGTTTTCAATGAGTGACTATTAACTGTATACTGAACTAGAGTAAAGGGCTAAATAGTGAGACAGAGAGATCATCAGACCGTCAGTGCACAGAATATCCAGTGGAGAGCAGTGAGCTTTGTCTCCATGGCTGACCTGGCTGTGGTGGAGCTTGCAGCTTTCCCTCCCCACAGCAGGCCTTGTTACACCATGGAGTAAACAATAGTGGCCTCCCTTGGAGATGGCCACCTGGTAGCTGCTCTCGGGAACCCAGTGTCTTTACTCTTGGACAGTTGGCAGTCCTCCCCCATCCCTGTCAGAGCTGACTTGGGGAGGGTAGCCTCTCCTCAGACAAGGGACCTTGGAGGACGCCTTGAGACTAAAAGCAAGTGTGTAGCCCCGCTTCCTAAGGCTGCGTCTCAGCGAGTTCAGACAGCATGAGACAAGTTACTCACACAATGTACACTGCAGGTGTACAGTTGAAAAGTCTTAGAAAAATGTTATCTCATATTTCTACATCATGTGGTGGTTTACTTTTCGGGCAAAGTGTTTAACCCCATTCTTTACTTTCCCCCATTTTCACATGAATAAGCAAATAGCCTGTTTTCTTTTTTCCTGCTTTGGTGTTTCTGTGCGCAGGTCAAATAAATTTTTCTTTTCTACACTAAAGATGCTTTTAAATTGTTTTTTCACAAGTTTTAACATATATCATTTATTAATTTTTATCTTATCTCATCTAAAGCTAGCATGTTACATTATTTCTTTCTATTGAGAACTTGTTTAAATAGCAATGTGTCATATTTTTGTTTTTATGATGGCAAAATCATTTTGTAAGACTTGATTTAGCATGAAAGCTTTTTTCCTTCGTCTACACAGGCAATCATTTATTGATAATTTCAAAAATGTTAAGGGTGGTGTGTGGAAAGGAGATTATTACCTAATCTTTTAAAGTCCCCCCAAAATTTTCTAACTTCTAAATATATTCTGCTAGTCTGATTGTTTTAATAAAATTCCACTTTGCTAGTTTTTATATGAAACATATGTGACTTTAAGTGATTTTCAAATCTATTTAAGACTGGTAAATTTTAGTTTCTGATGCTGAAGCTCTGCGGAAATATTTATATGCCCTGTGTACCCGTTTACTGCTGTTGCTGGTGTCTAAGATGCAGTTGTTGGTCTTTAGTGGGTTCTGGATTAAAAAGCCACCCTGTGCATGACAGCTGAAGCAAGACCAAGGTCTTTCTTAATGTGCTTAACACATTTCTTACAGGTTCTGAGTTCTGTTCGCACGGAATGGAATCCTCTGGATGTTAGCTTTGGCGCCAAACAACCTCATCAGGTGTTGACGGTGGAGTGCTCTATTGGTGTAGACAAGGAGCCCATGGCTGACAGCTGTATCTATGAATGTGTCCGGAACAAACTCCACTGCGTGTCAGTTACCAGAATACCATTAAGATCGAAGGCCATCAGTTGTTGCAGGAATCCTACTGAAGACAAACTGGTTGTGGGCTGTGAAGACTCTTCATTAATCCTCTATGAAGCTCACCGTGGAGCAACCCTTTTGGCCCAGGCTGAACTCTTGCCTTCATTAGTAAGCTGCCACCCAAGTGGTGCCATCCTGCTAGTTGGCAGCAGCCAAGGGGAGCTGCAAATTTTTGACATTGCTCTAGCCCCCATTAATATCCAGCTCTTGGCTGAAGATCGCCTACCCAGGGAGACTCTGCAGTTCAACAAATTCTTTGATGTTTCAAGCAGTCTTGTTCAAATGCAGTGGATAGCTTCTCCTCTTGTTTCCCAGAAGCCTGAAAGAGGAGAAATCTGTGATCTCCTTTTCCTCAGGTTCAACAGAGGACCTGTGGGAGTGCTGTTGTTTAAGCTAGGTAAGTCAACTAGACTGTAAGTTCCTTGTTCATGTTGGCGACATAGGCAAGGCATCAAGCTAGGGTCCAGATGGAAGGTTTTCTGTTTGCCATCCCATAGTAGCTCTACTTTTCAGTGATTACTTAGAGATTCCTTGAAAATGCTTGTGGGTGCTTTTCTAACTAGTGAAGGAATAGTGAATAAAATGAAGACTTTGGAAATTGTGTTAATTGCCTACATTGATGGTTTAAAAGTTTGAATCTTCAGAGCTGGAGGGATAACTTAAGGGTTAAGAGTGTCTACTGTTATTTCAGAGGACCTGGGTTAGTTCCCAGTACCTATGTGGTAGCTCACAACTACCTGTACTCCAATTTCAGGGGACCTGATGCCATCTTCTGGCCTTCCCAAGCACTGCATACACATGGTACCCCCTAAACTCAAGTAAGCGCATGTGCTTACACACAAATATATATAATAAATATTTTTTAAAATCTGAACTTTCACTTCTAATTTTTCTGAAATAATTGTCTAAAATATTCCCTAAGAAATAGGTAGATCAGAATTTAAAAATTAATTGAATTCATCATGAAAAACTGTGTTATAGAATATAACACTTTTCTACAAAAATTCTTTTAGATTTTCTGTGTCTGTTGCTGCCCATATTGAAATTGTGTAGAGCAAATGTTTAGAAAGAAACTAAATCAGATACTTAATTAAAATCTGTTAAAAAATATTTGTGTAACTTTGTGGTTTTGTTTTTGTTTGTTTTTTTCATTTTAGATGAAATATCTAAAGAGCTTTCTTAGTGTCTATTATATATTATAATAAAGTGATATGGCCTTTAAGGTTTTAATATATATAGCTTTTTAAAATAATTTAGCTTTGTAACGTTCCACTGGGGAACCTTAAAGTGAAATACCATTCTGAGTTTTCTATTGCCAGGTATGTATTGAAAGAACAAGAACTGCTTAACATGGTTTTGTATAATATTCTCTGAGGGACTTAGGTTTATAAAAACATTTTTTAAATTAACATACATTGTGTACTTGGGAAAAATAGGAAATTTGAAAACCTTAGATGATTTGCTGTGGGTGCAGAGTTATATTTTAGAGACATCACGGTGTTTGTCAAGCTGCAGTTGCTTTCTCTGTTTTCACACTGCTCTGTTTGCCTCCAAATTGAACGTAAGATGTGTCTGGAGAAAATGGCCTGGTTAACCTGAGGCATAGAGTGTGTATAAGGATGCCCGTGTTCCTTCTAATAGTGGAAATGCTGTTGATGGCTCATAATGGTAAAATTGTTAAAAAAATGTTTGGAATCTCTGTTATTATAAAATAATCCAGTTAGACTTTGCCCAGCTACTTTTTAGCAGTTGTATGTCTCCATATACAGCACTAATTAAAGTGGATGTTTGATGTTTTCCATGGCTGTTAAAACATACACAGCCTCTCTCTCTCCTACCTTTTCTTTCCCTTCTCTGCCCCCCTCCCTTTAAATTGCTCAGCTGCTGTCAAAGAGACTGCTGTCTGTCCATTTATACCTAGCATCCTCTCTCTCTCTTCCTTGTGGGCATCCTCACAACAGCTTTGTAAAAAGCACAGTTTTGTCTTCCTGTCTCTAGCGCATTTGCCTTCTTCCTAAAGTAAACAGGCTCTCGGTGTAGGGATTTAGAGGGCTTCCTGCTAATTGCCAGCCTGTAAACTTAATTGGACTGTCTCCCCGGGCACTGTTCCTAAATCAATTAGGCAATGAGTTGGCTGTCACCTCTTTCCCAAGAAGGTCTCTTGGAATAGAATTATCCAATAGAAGTCAAGCTTTCAGATAGAAAGGTGATAACTTCTGCAACTGACATTTATCTTTTAAATTGTATTTTCATTTAAGTCTCCAGGACAGGGAAACTGCAGTCTTCCAGTTTAGCTCTTTGAAAGAGCTAAATGTGGAGTATCTAAGGATTTTTTTTGAAGCTTTGTGTCCCATTTTTAATTTATTATGAAATTAATATTTATATCAAATTTTCTTTCATGGGAGGAGTAGATTACTTGAAATAGTAGATTCCAACCAGCATTTTTTTTTTAAAAAAAAGAGAACCTAGTTTTAAAGAACAGATTTTTCTTATGATCTGCTACTAAATACATCCAAAAATTAATATACTTCTTGAATTAACACAGAGCTGATTCTGGGCATCCGTGTGGCATTTTCATGTATAATTCAAGTTACTGCATATGTAAACAGGTAGTTGCATGCACAGCGCTCCCGAGAGAGCTTTATGAGACTTCTTCTCAGACGCTTCTTATGCAAGCCTTTGGAAAATTTGACATGAAAGGTGTAGCTCACGATTTAAAATTGTAAAGACAAACCATAGATCATGGTTTAAAATAGAACGCTGTCACATGTAAACATGTCAGTGGCGGATGCCAACATGCTAACATTTTTGGAGTTTCACTGTAGAACAGGTCAGTTAGCATACTGCTGTAGGAAAATTCTTAAGGATAGATGTTCCATTCTTTTTTATAATTTATTTTTAAAGAAAACAAACTATCTTCTTTCATTTTACATACCAATCTCAGTTCCCACTCCCTCCCCTCCTCCCATTCTCTCTACCTACCCCCCACCCCACCCCTGTCCACTCTTCAGAGAGGAACATTGCTTAGGGGACAGTCCAAGGCCCTCCCTACTATATCTAGACTGAGCAAGGTATCCATTCAAAGAGAATAGGTTCCCAAAAAGCCAGTACATGCAGTAGGGATAAATCCTGGTGCCACTGCCAGTGGTACTGCAGTCCACCCCGGCCATGCAACTGTCACTTATATTCAGAGGGACTAGTTTGGTTCTATGCTGGTTCCTTCCCTGTCTGGCTGGAGTTGGTGAGCTCCCATTAGCTCAGGTAGACTGTTTCAGTGGGTGAACCATCATGGTCTTGACCTCTTTGCTCATATTCTCACTCCTCCCACTCTTCAACTAGACTTTGGGAACTCAGCCCAGTGCTCTGCTGTGGGTCTCTGCCTCTGTTTCCATCAGTTGCTGGATGAAGGTTCTATGGTGATGTTTAAGATATTCACCAATCTGACTACAGGGCAAGACAAGATTGGGCCCCCTCTCCACCATTGCTTGGGTCTTAGCTGGTGTCATCTTTGTGGATTCCTGGGAATTTCTCTAGAGCCAGATTTCTTGCTAATCCCATATTGGCTCCCTCTATCAAGATATCTCTTTCCTTGCTCTCATCTCTGTCCTTCCTCCATCTCGTCTATCTCGTTCCCTCAAGTTTTCCTCCCCTCTTCCCTTCTCCCCTTCTCTTCCTCTTCTGCCCTCCCTTCTTCTCCCACCCCAACGTTCCATTCTTACTCCTCTTAATGGTTACACAAGAATGCTGGGAATGTAAAGGAAATCTTCAATGTTACAAGAAGGCTTCCTGATGAGGGTTTTCTTGAAAAGCAGAAGTGCCATGCTCCCAATATTGTGTTCTGAAAAGAGTAAGTACACCACAGATGATAATGGGCTAAGAAAGAAATCAGAGAAACATCACCCTTCACAATAGCCAAATATCAAAAAAATATCTCAGAGTGACTCTAATCAAACAAGTGGAAGACTTGTATGACAAGAACTTTAAATCTCTGAAGAAAGAAATTGAAGAAGACACCAGAAAGTGGAAAGATCTCCCATGCTCTTGGGTAGGTAGAATTACCAGAGTTGAAATGACAATCTTACCTAAAGCAATCTACAGATTCAATGAAATGCTCATCAAAACCCCAGCAAAATTCTTTACAGACCTCGAAAGAACGGTACTCAATTTCATATGGAAAAGCAAAAAACCCAGGATAGCCAAAACAATCCTGTACAATAAAAGAACTTCTGGAGGCATCACAATCCCTGACTTCAAACTCTACTACAGAGCTACAGTACTGAAAACAGCCTGGTATTGGCATAAAAACAGACAAGAGGATGAATGGAACCAAATTGAAGACCCAGATATTAATCCACATACTTTCAAACACCTGATTTTTGACAAAGAAGCAAAAAATATCAAATGGGAAAAAAGCATATTTAACAAATGCTGCTGTCATAACTGGATATCAACATGTAGAAGAATGAAAATAGATCCGTATCTATCACCATGCACAAAACTCAAGTCCAAATGGATCAAAGACCTCAGCAAAAAGCCAGCCACACTGACCCTCATAGAAGAGAAAGTGGGAAGTACACTTGAACGCATTGGCACAGGAGACCACTTCCAAAATATAACCCCAGCAGCACAGACACTGAGAGACACAATTAATAAATGGGGCCTCCTGAAACGGAAAAGCTTCTGTAAAGCAAAGGACATGGTCAACAAGACAAACGACAGCCTACAGAATGGGAAAAGATCTTCACCAGCCCCAAATCAGACAGAGGTTTGATCTCCAAAATATACAAAGAACTCAAGAAGCTGGTCATCAAAAAAAAAAAAAAAAACTGAGTACAGACCTAAACAGAGAACTCTCAACAGAAGAATCTAAAATGGCTGAAAGACACTTAAGGAAAAGCTCAACATCCTTAGTCCTCAGAGAAATGCAAATCAAAACAATTCTGAGATTCCATCTGACACCTGTAAAAAAAGGCTGAGATTAAAAAAAAACACTGATGACAACTTATGCTGGAGCGGATGTGGGGTAAATGGAACACTCCTTCATTGCTGGTGGAAGTGCAAGCTGGTACAGCCCCTTTGGATGTCAATTTTCTTAGAAAATTGTGAAGCAACCTTTCTCAAGGCTCAGTAATACCACTTTTGAGTATATCTCCAAAGGATGCTCAATCATGTCACAAGGACATGTGCTCAACTATGTTCATAGCAGCATTGTTTATTATAGCCAGAACCTGGAAACAACCTAACTGCCCCTCGATCAAAGAATGGATAAGGAAAATGTGGTACATTTACACAATGGAGTCCTAGACAGCAGAAAAAAAAATGACATCTTGAATTTTGCAGGAAAATGGATGGAGCTAGAAAACATCATTTTGAGTGAGGTAATCCAGACCCAGAAAGACAATTATCACATGTACTCACTCATAAGTGGTTTTTAAACATAAAACAAAGAAAATCAGCTGACAAATACAATTCCAGAGAACCTAGACAACAGTGAGGACCTTAAGAGAGACATACATAGATCTAATCTACATGGGAAGTAGAAAAAGATAAGATCTCCTGAGTAAATTGGGAGCAAGGGGACCTTGTGAGAGGGTTGAGGGGCAGGGTAGAGGCAGGGAGGGGAGCAGAGAAAAATGTTGAGCTCAATAAAAATCAATAACAAAAAACAAAAAACTGGGTTAGTTTTGAGAGGGGCCCTGGTTGTTGTCCTGAGATGTAGAGCTTGTCCAGTCTCACCACAGTCTGTCCAGCCCTTTCTGCTTTTTTTTTTTTTTTTTTTTTTTTTTTTTTGTTTTTTTTTTTCGAGACAGGGTTTCTCTGTGGTTTTGGTTGGAGCCTGTCCCGGAAACTAGCTCTGCAGACCAGGCTGGTCTCGAACTCACAGAGATCCACCTGCCTCTGCCTCCCGAGTGCTGGGATTAAAGGCGTGCGCCACCATCGCCGGGCACCCTTTCTGCTTTTTAAATGCGCTAACACCATCAGCTCTTCTCTTTAGCACAGGCTCTCTTCTGGTAGTTAGCACTTCAAGGAGTTTACCTGCCCTCCCTCACCCCCATTCCACTAATTATGAGTGTGCCATGAAGGGCAGACTGCTAGTGCTAGCCCTAGGCTGGTCTGCCACCACTGTCACTGTGACCCTTTACTTTGCTGTCCTTCCTACCTGCCGTGGAACTTAGTGCATAAACAGGCCCAGGCCACCTCATCAGAAATGAGTCTTCCTTGTCAGTGTTTTCTTTTTGCTTCTGAACAAGTGTTCCCCTTTCTTCCATGGCCAAAGTCACGGATGTGACAGTGAACACCATGTTCCCTGACATGTGTGCTTCTCAGTGCCCCCTTAGCGCCGTGACCGTGATAAAATTCTTAAGGGGGATCATTGTAACAGATCAGATTTGGTCAAAGATTATCCAGCTTGTAATACTCAGTAGTGTAGCTTCCTCTCCAAGGCATATGCTCTCTGACTCGTTTTCGGTGGTGGTGGTGGTAATGATGGTTTATGTTTATCTACATGAATGGCCCTATAGTGTCCATATAGAGCCTGTAAATTTGAGAATAACCTAATTGAAGCTAATATCTTTTGGCTCATTGGGTTTTGAAAATCCTAGGCCCTGTCTGTATGTTTATGTCTGTCTCTCTAAAAATCAAGAAGTATATGTGTGATTTTTGAGAACCTTTGTAAATATTTTCTTTAAATGTCATTTTTTATAATTTAATAGCTGAATAACACTGAGTTATTTTGGTATTATAACTTAATATATGATGATAGCTAATTGCTGTAAAAGATGTCAAATATCAAATAGTATGTGTTTTATAAATATACATATATTCTAAATATAGAATACTGAAAGACTAGAGGAGGAAATACATGAAAGTAGGAAGACAGGTGGAAAGGAACACGTTAGAAAAGTAGGAGAGGCTGAGAGAGGCAGTGGAGAAGAGGTAGAAATGGCTTGTTTTCTCTCCTGCATAGGACATGAAAGCAGAGGGGGCCATTTAGGAGGAAGGGGATCAGCAAGGCTGCAGGTAAGGAAGGGCAATGGAGTTTCAAAGACAATCAAAGTCCAGTGACACATATTTAAGGGCATGTAATAATGGAATCCATCAATTCTGAAAAGGAGAGAAAAGAAATGGAGGAATAATGTTGGGTGTCTGCACAGCTTTGTTGGCTCTTGATCTCCTCGTTCATTTACAATGAACTTCTATTCCAAACAGCATCTGCTTCCTTCACTTTAGAGAGGAAATGGTTTTATTATCAAGTTTGTTGAAGTATAATCTGCATAAATAAAATATGTCCACTTAAAACACTTGTCAGTGAGTTTAATATATGCATTCCCAAGGCTGCTACCACATACAAATATTTCCATCACACCGAAACGTTCTCCCAAAGTCCCTTGTAGTTGACCCACCGTCCTCAATGCAGATAAACACTGCTTTGATTTCTCTTGTTGTCGATTAGATTGGCTTTTTATAGAATCCCATAGAAATGTGACCATAGAGTAAATACTCTTGGGTCTAGATGTTTTCACAGTCAGCATTAACCGGAAGAATCTTCCATATTGCTGTCAGATGTAAGTCAGTTTCCCTTCAAGGTGCCTCATAGTCATCCCTTCTATAGCTACGCCATGATACTTTGTTATTCTTTCAACTCTTGGTGGACATTTGGTTTATTTCAGGTTTAGCTAAAGCACCAAAAATGCTCCATACTTTTATGACCACCTCTTTATATGGACACATATTTCCACTGATGTTGGGAAAAGCCTCGAAATGGACATTTTCAGGGCCTTGTGCTACTTTAAAAGAAAGCTGGTGTTCTAAAGTGGTTGTGCAGTTTAGCGTGTCTAAGAGCAGCGAGAGCAACGGTGGCTCCACGTCCTCACTTGACATCAGTGGTCTTTTCAGCTTCAGCCGCTGGAGCACATGGCTAGGATTGTCCGTTCCGTTCCCCTGATGACTTTTGCAGTGCGCGTCTTCGGGTTAGTGCCGTATGTTTTCTTTATTGTTATTTTTCTTTTTATTCAAATTTTTATTTTTCAAAATTTAACAACCACTTCTCGTGGACTTTGAAGATTTGTTTTATATTAATCTTGTGGGGGGCGTATGTGGACATGCGAGTGCGGTACAGGGTCCAGACGAGGGCGTTGGAAACCCTGGAGCGGGACGTGAAGGGAGTTGTGAACTGTGCGGTACAGGGACTGGAACAGTCAGTGTGTGCTCTTCATTGCTGAGCCGTCTCTCCAGTTCCTCAGGGTTTAATCTCAAGTGATAAATCTCACTTACTGACATATTTTTGTCAATATTTGGAGATTTCCTAGGTATCTCTCTGTTTTTATATCTAATTCCTTTGATGTTAGACGATCTAATCTAGTCGTCTGATTTCCAACCTTTGAAATGTACTGTAGGATGTTTTATTACTCTGAACATGCTTTAGCTTGGTTCACGTTCTATGTGTCCTCAACAAGAATGTATGTTCCACTGTTATTGGGTAAAGTGTTTTATAGCTGTAGGGTTGAGGATGGAGCTCATTTGGAACAGGCATGGTTGTGTATACCTGTAATCCCAGCATAGGAGAGGTAGAAACCAGAAGATCAGAAGTTCAAGACCATCCTCTATAAAGTATCCGAAGCCACCTGGGCTACATATGAGCAGTCATGATAATAAATAAATAAATAAATAAATAAATAAATAAATAAATCTATTTGGTGATTTTTTTTCAGTGATAGTGTTTTTCAAGTATTTTCCAGAATTTCTGTTTCTGTATCCTCTGATTCACGAAGGATGCACTGAAATCCGTTATCTACTTGGGTCCTCCCACCCTGTTCAATTCTGTCCGTTCTTGTTCCTTTATTCAGAACTCTTTTATTAGAAGTATTTAAGACTTTTCTATTTCTTCATGAATTTTAAATCCTCTATCATGAGAGTTTGAATTCTAGGTTATTTTTATTTTTATCTTAAGCCCTTTAACTACGTCTTCCTGTTGTTTTCTAGTTTGCATAATTTCAGATGCAAAGCCTATTGTCACTCACTTCTTGTTTCTCTGTGTCCTGTGTCTCCTCCACCACCATGAAAAACAATTGTCCTTCCTTTTGAACTGTTCCACTGTGATCATCTGTGGATTTGCTCAGAGCAGCCTCCTTCCTCCTCTTGTTCCCAGTAGCACTGCTGCTTCTGCCTGAGGTTGGGAAAGAGGCTGCTTCAGTCCCTGCGAAGCTGCTGCACAGCCGCATCTCCTGCCAGAGCTGCCTGATTTACGACTGGGACTTGCAGTGCTGGACACGGGCGCATGAGTCTCTGGGTGGTTACAGCGTTGACTCTCCCAACTCACAAGGAATAGTAAAGTTTTACTGCTTAGTACACTTAGGGCAATTCCCCAGATTCCCTGTCAAGCTGGGTCTTGTTAGACGCAGCACAAGTAGGTTTGTTCTTTGCTTTTTATATGTCATGGTATTGGCATGAAGAAGTTCATCGTCTTTCTCATGAACTAATGTATTTTGAAAATCAGGAAACCTATAAATAGTCTAGTTAAATTCTGATGACAGTAATAAAAGAATTACAGTAATATTTTATAATATTTTATAGCTTATAAAATAATTTCACAGGCATTTTCTCATTTAGTTTTATGATTATTTGTACCAAGTTTTTATAGACTTATCTAAATCAGTAAAACACTCGCTGAAGAAAAATTACAGTTAACATTTAAATTTTTTCCTTTGGTGAATGTGGAAATTGACATATTTGTGTGTACGATTACACGTGTGTATGCATGCGGAGGCCAGAGGTCAGTTCTGGAGTCTTTCTCAGTTGCTCTCCATCTTTCTGGTCTCTCTCAGCTTGGAGCTCTCCTGCTCAGCTAGCCTGGGTCACGGGCGTGCGCCGCTGTGCCTGGTTTTTCACGTTGGCTTTGGAGGCTGGACCTTGGGTCCTGTGCTTCCTCACCAAGCAGTTCATCAGCTGGGCCATCTTTCCAGCCCTACTTTTAAAAGATGAAAACCCAAACCAAACCAACAAAACCAAAACACAGTGGAATAGTGCTTAAGAGGCACAGTGTTGCTATTTAACAAGCAAACATAGCTGCTGGCCTCTTCTGTCTCAGCCTGAACTCCTCCTAGTGCCCCTGCTCTGTTGGGATGGGAAGTGGATCTGTTTTATTTTGAAGGGGCAAACCACTGAGCCTCTGTGTGTTTTTCCTTTCCGTAAAGAGTGTGTTTGGTTTTATTGCTTTACTTGTGTTTTGTGACAGGCATCCTCACTCGAGGACAGCTGGGTCTGGTCGACCTCATCCTCCAGTACCTCCACTGCGATGAGGTGAATGAGGCCATCAACATCCTGAGCAGCATGAGCTGGGACAGCCTGGGCCAGCAGTGCTTCATCAGCATGAGCGCCATCGTGAACCACCTTCTTAGACAAAGGCTCACTCCAGAGAGAGAAGGTCAGACCCATTACATCACATCAGTGGTTTCAAGTGTACATGAAACCCATTTTGAGTCAGTATTAGGATGTTTGTTAGTTATGCTATTGGAAACTGAAGGAGGAAAATATTAATGGTATGTTAAAGCTGGAAGGATATCAAAAAATTATTTCCAGATGGTAGTTCCTGTGTGGCGTTTGTCAATACAGAGGACACCTTTTCTGCCCGTGTTTGTGCTGGAATTCACAGGGTTGTTGTCACACAGTTCAGTCAAACTCATGTGTACAATGTGTTCAGATTTCAGAATTCAATCAGAAATTTCATTTAATCTGTTTGCATAGAAAGGACACCAAACCAATATTATTCTTCTCTCATATTAAACACCAATGTTTTTCTCACACGTAAGACCTCTGTCAGACAGTAGTTGCCCACACTCCCTGTGTGTGCATCAGGGTTGTCTGTAGCCCAGGCTGTGTCAGGGTTCTCTGTAGCCCAGGCTGTGTCAGGGTTGTCTGTAGCTCTGGCTGTGTCAGGGTTGTCTGTAGCTCTGGCTGTGTCAGGGTTGTCTGTAGCTCTGGCTGTGTCAGGGTTCTCTGTAGCTCTGGCTGTGTCAGGGTCGTCTGTAGCTCTGGCTGTGTCAGGGTTCTCTGTAGCCCATTCCTACTTGTCTTCATCCTTTGGATCTTTGCCTCTGATTTCCATCTCCCTTCTGCTGCTTGGCTTTCCTCATCTTTTTAGGAATTTGCCCATAGAAATCCAAGATGTTTATTGTTGAGGTAGAGAGCACTGAGAAAACAAATGACACACGAGATATAAAAACAGATTTTTATATCGCTCAATATGAGTTGTTATTCCTTTCCATGATATAAAATGTATCAAATGTATTTCATATCTTTGGCTACTAATATTAACATTGGGAAATTATGACTGGACAGTATCACTTAACAGTACAGGATAAGAAAATTAGGGTAGGTCTGTTCCTCGAGAACATTTTCTTTCTTAGTATTTTTAGTGTGTTTTAATAGACTTTTTTCATTTTTATTACATTTCCAAAATAAACAATAAGTGATGCAGATTCCCCTCTGTATTCTGTGAATATCATTGGTTAATAAAGGAACTGCTTTGGGCCGATAGCAGAACGATAGAGGAACAGAGCTAGGTGGGAAAACTAAATGGAATTCTGGGAGAAAGGTGGAGGAGTTAGAGAAGCCATATTGCCATGCCAGAGACAGACATCAGTAAGCCACAGCCACAGTGGCAATACACAGATTAATAGAAATGGATTAAATTAGTATGTAAGAGTTAGCCAATAAGAAGCTAGAGCTAATGGGCCAAACAGTGGTTTAATTAATAGAGTTTCTATGTGATTATTTTGGTTCTGGGCGGCCGGGATGAACAAGCAGCTCCTTTTAACACATTAGGTTTTTTGATAAGATTCTGTAGTTGGTCAGTAAACTCATGAATCTCTAGGAAGTTTATATTATTAACCTTGACCTAACTCACAGAGTTCCCGTCTAATAGGTGTGTTTAAGAGTCAACTGAACTTTTTGGAAGTAGTTCAAATTCATATATGAAAACATCAGTGTTTGTACATGAAGAAAATGCCTGCCACAATGCATGGCCCACTCTTGGTACTCAAGAAATATAGGCTAAAAATAAAAGGTATAATCTCAATATTTTAGGGGGTGAAGTGTTAGTATAATTTTGCCTATAAAGTTCTCTCAAGTAATTATTTTTTTAATATTGATATACTTCTCAAGATTGAGTATGTACCTAAAAGTAACAACAAAAGCAAGAGCAGAGACTCCCACGTCTATAGTGATATACTTGCTCTGTGTAGTAAGTCCCAAGTTTACAGTGAAAGCAGAAATATTGAGAGATAAAATACTGAGTTTCATTCAAGACACTGAGAAGTTGCCAACGCCTTAGTGAATTTATGTTATTAAATTGCTAGGTTGTAAGAAAGATTATGAAGAAATACTCAAATGGGCATTATCAGATTCCTATCCTAATAAGGGATTCTTTTCACAGACTCCTATTGGAGAGATAGAGAAATGAAAAGCTCTTATGATATTGGGCTATTAAAACAAAATCTATACATATCCTGGTTATCTGAATATTGCTAAGTAGATATGTGCATTTCTTCTCAGGTAACTACAAAACACATTTCTAAAACATTCAGAATTCCCTGTTGAGATTCATTTTATCTGAACCTAACAAATTTGGCATGGTAATTCATTGTCCTTTTATTAGTGAAACCTAGTGCGCTGTTATTTCTAGCCGCGTTGTGTCTGTCTTTGAGATCTTCATTTCTGCCTTAAACATCAAGCTGGGCGCCCTAATGAATTCGTAGCTGTGCTGGGAGTTACCCGTGTTCCATGTAGGCTTGAGCATTTCAGATGTACGGAACATGCTGTCAGGGAAACAAGCAATGGCAAGAGAACCTGGCTTGTTTTCACAGTGACAGTGCTATATTCAATTTTAATCTAAATTGACTGCTGCTTTGAAAGAAAATACCTCCAAAATGCATCGTACTTTACTGTGTAGATTTGAGATTGAAAAAATAAAGGCATTGCTAAAGCTTAGTCAAGCCATAGCAATTACTGGAATGGGGTATTTACTACTTGGAAATCTAAATAGGCCCACAACTAAAAGAGTTTTGCTAAATAATGAGTTGTTTATTCCCTCCAGTGTTGGAAGCATAAATATCAGAGGAGCCTAACTGTGAACTGTAGTGTACTCATACATACTCATGTTCTCTCCATACGGTAATTACTTCCAGGTATTTCTGGGCACAAGCACAGTCCCACTGGCATATCTTGGTGAAACTGTGAAGTAGACGGGCTGCTCCTTATCCCCTAATCTCTTATCTCCGAGCCTCCCTCATTTATGAAAAACATCTTTCCAATCTTCTCCTATTCCAGGGTGTTCGCTTTCATGAAAGTACAACCTTGTTTATGACAGGATTTAGGAACGAGATACTGATTTTCATTGTTCTCCTAAAATTGCATCACATACATATCTTACTCCAATATGCAAGTTTGTATCTGTCTTATTTAATTTAAGAAATTATATATAGAACTATACACACACACACACACCTATATATAGTGAGTGTGTGTGTGTGCGTGCCCATAGCCATGGTGTATGGGTGGAGGTCAGAGAATTTTAGACTCACTTCTCTCCTCTACCACATGGGTTCTGGAGATTGAACTCGGGTCATCAGACTTGGCAGCAAATGCCTTTACCTGCTGAGCTGGCTTACTGGCCCCTTATTGGTAGTTTTTTAGGAAAACGTTTCTACTGTGCTACTTTCGTTTTCCTGTTGAAAAAGTGAGTTCTCTTCTCTCCACTAAAGAGAAGACATGCTGCTGAGCGCACTGCCCATGGCTCTACTGAGAGCCTAGCTGAGACGGTGTTACTTTGAGGAGTCACTGCTTTAATTACCCGTTTGTGGTGAGAGGTTGTTTCATTATGGGTGTCTTCCGTTTCGACAGCGTTTTGTTGCTCAGAGTCATTGTCAGCTTTGTCTCATGTGACAGCTTATGCGCAGGTTTGTTTTTGTAGCAGCTGTCATATTTTAATTTCATCTTTCCTGCACATTTCATCCAAGTCTGCAGAACCTGACTGGCTGCGAACACGAATGCTCTGTTGTAATTGAAGGAGTTTCTCTTGTTCAGTGCTGCTATGTTTGTATCCCACAGCGCAGCTTGAGGCAAGCCTGGGAACCTTCTACGCGCCGACGAGACCGCTTCTGGACACAACTGTTCTGGAGTACAGAGACCCCATCAGCAAGTATGCCAGGAGATTCTTCCACCACCTGCTCAGGTGAACAGTGCCCTTGGCTGCCTGGGCTCAGACCGCATATTTAAAGACGTACCTTTCACAAGCTTCCTCCATATTAAAGACGTACCTTTCACAAGCTTCCTCCATAATGTGGCCATTTTCTGACAGCTTTTCTCTTTAAAAGAAAAGTAGGTCTTATTTGTCTTTATTTAATTTGTTATTATTTTCCCTTTTAGGAAATCCTGGTATTACCTAGGATCTTGACATCATCAGTAATACATCCTACTCTTTGATATGATAGTAAAAACTATGTAGAAAGTCGAGATGACAGCATTAACTGAGTTTCATTCCTCGCCTAAATGAATACAGTGGTTTAAACTGAAGGTGGAACTCTACCTGTGCTGTGGGGCTGTGAGGCAGTTGTGGGCTTGCTTTCCTTTCAGAGTCCCTACAGAAAGACTTGTCCATTGTCCTTGCACACGATGTGGCCGTTACCATTCACTGTAACTCATTTTTCTTTATATACATATAAGTGTTCTTCCAACCTTAGGGACTATTTGACAGTTTGCTAAAAATGTCAAATTGTTCTGAGAAAAATATTCTAGAAGTTGGAGGACAGCATGTACTCTCAGAGAAGGAAGATGAAAACCTGGATAGAAAGATTGCAGCCTCATAGATGTTGTGATATCTAGTATTAAAATCAGGTAAGTGGTTAGCATGAGTGTTGTAGTCTGGAACAAAAAGGAATGTAATAGTATACAGGTTACTGGGGTGCTCAAATAATGAATCACCTTCCATTTCTTAGGATGGATGGTATAAACCAGGGTCTCTTAAAAATCCTTTTTCGGTTGCATATGTGCACTTGCTGTATTTTGGATATATGTTTTATGGTAGAATTTTGGAGTTTGTTTATAAAAAGGAAGGATTGTGTGAAGGAGTTGATTTTACTAATAACGTTCTTGTGCAGTACTTTCAGAGACTTTGCTAATACTCTTATTTTTATCAGAACAACTTTATAAGGGAGTGCTATCATGTCATGAAGTAATAACGTCAGGCCTAGAGGATTGGCTTACTTAGAAGGATAACAAGTGGCTGTAGATCAGGGGCTGCTTCCACTGTTCTTTACCCTTTCCTGAAGACACTTACTGCCACTGGTTGTTTAGTTTTCAGCTACTACCTTCCAAAACAGCTGTGAGCTGTCATCGGCACAAGAGTAGGCTGATTGACAGATGTCCAGCCGTCCCAAGAGTGGGGGCACGCAGCTTGGTCAAGCTTGAGGAGGTGTGCTCTTATACAGACATTGTGCTCCATAATTAATTTTATCTAGACATAAAGTGGTACTCTGAACTCACACAGCAGTGAGGCCTTTAGAAAATCATATTTTTGGAACCCAGAAAATGTTAATATATTGCAAGAGTTATTATCTGTAATTGAATCTTGCCTTTTTATCTGAATGGTGTTAGCATATTTCAAGAGACTCTTCATCTTAAACGTAGCAGTCCTCACGCATGAGCATACCCTGAAAATATTGGGGTTGAAGTCACGTGTTCTTGAACTTTGCTTTCATTGCTACTTTGTTTTCCTTGTTTCTAGGGAAAATTGATGAATTAGCTTCTTGCCTAAGGGGCTGGGAAAGATAAACATGAGTCAGAACTCTTGAAAGCATATGCATGGTAGCTTCCCTGTGGTTTGGCCTCTTTGGTTTTAAAGCAGTTATTGGTAGTTTTGAAGCCTCTGCCCTAGGGAACACCTCTCCTCTGGATGTGAGTATTTCCTCCCTGTGTGGGTTTAAAGTGAGCCTTTTCTGATAGCATGAGTTGTGTTGCTGTCATCAGTATTATATTCAAACTTTTCTGTTTGGTTCTGTGAGGTGTTTCTTTTGGGGAATGCTTACTTTTTCATGTTGCTGCTTTTGGATGCTTTCAGTTCCAATGGAATTCTCTAGCTTCTCTTTCACTAGTAGGCTCTACAGGGCATTGAGAAAAGAGAAATGTATGTTAGTAGAGACTGAATGAGATAACCCAAGTTGGAAACATCATTTTGTTGAATCTGCTACCGAGAAGTTTTATCTAGGGGAGATGAAACAGGTCAAATCCCTTTAGGATTGCATGAGTCTTTCTGGTTTAGCTAGTCATTATTTTAATACCCCTTAAAAACTTATTAAAGAATTAAGGCCATCTTGGGGCATTTAAACTGAGGAAGAAGAAAGGAGCCCCATGGAGATTAGGAAAGTAGCTGAAGTCACCTGAAGCTCAGGTGGGCCCCTTGGTGAGAGCCAAGTGCTCTCTTTATTTTGATCCGGCATGCAAAGGCTGAGGTCAGATTCTGACTTTGTGTTAATAGACAAGTGTATGTGTGGTTGCTAAAACAAATGTTTGTATACAGTTTGGGTTTTGTTCTTCTTGGAGAGCAATTCTCCAGACATCGTTCTGTGTCTCTTGGCTTCTCTCCAAGTTCAAACATACTTAAACTGTAAGACTTATTTCTTCTATCTTTCTTGAGAACTCTTTGTATGTGTGCAAAATCGCTGTGTTTCAAAAAGAAATGTCCCTGATAGTATAAATCATTCCGTAAAGTGTTTGTTTTAGCAAAATTAAATAGCAATCGTCTATTTATAAAAATTGTTAAGCTGCAGGACACCTACAAACAATAAATGCATCTTTGCCTGAAATGTACTGAGAAGGTAGTCACTCACCTTTCCACCTCTGTGAAACTGAATAGCCTCGGAGCACTTAGCAGGGAGCCAGCACCAAACAAGAGCTTTTCATAAACACACAGAAACTTTGATAGGAACAAGTGAATACTGATTGGATGAAAAGGCAAACATTTCACATGAATATGGCCATGAAAAGCTTATTTCATTAATGAGCAAGTAGGATAATTTATAGCTAATGATTTAGTTTCATTTTCTCTTCAGATATAAGGCTACTGTTTTCTGATACAGATGCTTATAAAATGATAAGCTATTTTGAGGAAGAGGACTTTATTGCTTAGAAATAAAAACATGAATGTTTATTATGTTTTGCAAAGGAATAATACTTTTTTTCCTTATAATTCCACTCAAAAGATTAAAATGAATTGATGTGCATAGGAATAGATAGTGGCTAGATGAGTGGAAACAGTTACAGTGTCAGAACACAGATGGGTCATGGTTTCTCTCAATGTTCATATACGTTTGGCAATTTTGTAATAGAATGTGGGTAGTGTGTGTGTGGAATATATATACATAAATATGTTGGAATTAATATTTATACTAATAATTCGGGAAGAAGGGAGAGCCAACCATGGATTGAAACCTGAAATTTTTTTGCCAAAATAAATCTTACTTCCTTTTGTTTCTCTTTTGGTATTTATCACAGCAGAACAGATGGGTCAGTGGTAAAGAATGCATGCAGGACTTGAGTTTGGTTCTCAGGACTCACATCAGGTGGCCAGGAGCCACCTTTATCTCCTGGGGATTTTATGCTTTCTTCTGAACTCCACGTGCACATGTGTGTACACAGGAGCATGCACACATGTGCATAAGAATATGATAATTCTTTTAAAAAAAAAAAACCCTTAGCACATGCAACTGAAATAAAGCCTGATATTTCCCCCTAACTTGCTTATCTACTCAATTGTTATGTGTGAAAACTGCAGCGTTAAAATGAAAGCACATATATAACTTTATAAAAATAATTAGGGGCTATGGGATAATGCTGTTGTACACTGTAAAGATTTTCCACTCATATTGATTTAATAAAACACTGATTGGCCAGTAGTCAGGAAGTACAGACAGGGCAACCAGACTAGGAGAATTCTGGGAAGAGGAAAGGCAGAGATGCAGTCACCAGTCTGACTCAGAGGAAGCAAGATGAGAATAGGATGTCTTACTGAGAAAAGGTGCCAAGCCATGTGGATTAATATAAGTTGTAAGAGCTAGTTAATAATAAGTCTGGGCAAATAGGCCAAACAGTTTATAATTAATATAAGCCTCTGTGTGTTTCTTTGGGACTGAACGACTGTGGGCCTGGGTGGGACAGAAACTTCCATTTATAGCTCATTGTTTAAGAGTGCTTGTCTCTCTTGCAAAAGACCTAGGTTCCATTCCCAGCACCCACTGGTAACTCCAGTTTCAGAAGATTCAGTGCCTTCTGACCTGTGGAGGCACTAAGCCTGCATATGATGCAGAGACCTGCATGCATGCAAAACACACAGAAAATGAGTACATCTAATTCAGTAAAAGAAAAAAAAAAACTCAGCTATTTAACTATTAATAGAGAAGCAGGGAGGTGAATTTTTTTTTTTTTTTTTTTTGAGGCTCTTCAGGTCCCTGAGGTGCCGTGATCTTTTTGCTTCAGGCTCCTTTGAATTCGTAATGTCAGATATAAGTTCTCTGAGATAAGCTTTACTTAGTGAGTCCTAGGTTACGGGAAATGACAGTAGTAAGTCCGGAAGAGTGGCTCACAAAAGAAGCAGTGAACCTTCCACCACACCCGGAGCAGGCTGCCTAAGTGCGACCTTGTCCTGATGACACTTACCCTTGGCAGTGCTGGGCAGCTGGGGATCTTAGGTCATTCCAGGGTGCTCCTCAGGATTAAGCCATTCTTAAGAAAATGTTGCCTAATGTTTGCCTGAGGCCATTTTCTCTTAGCAAGCCTGTAGTCAGAACTTAAAGACAGAAAGGTGTTGATCTGTGTTTAGTCTTTCCCTTAGGAAGTAATAATTCTTACCCAAAGGAAGGCAATCTGAAGAAGTGACAAGATTGTGATTGTAGGCCCTAGTGACTCCTCGTGTATTACAGGAGTGAGGCTTTTTGTTTTTTGAAACTTTTGACATTTATTTTAATTAACAAAGAGTACTTCTGTGCATTTATAGTGAAGAGTGTGAACTGAATCAAGTTAATTAACATATTTGTCATCTCATCCACCTATCATTTTCTATAGGGAGGATTTTATATTTTGGCAAATTAGACAGATGTAGTACATTGTTATCAACTGTGGTTGCTGCATGGTAGAAGCTCATGCCACCAGTCTCGTGGAAGCACTGTACCACTGATGAAC